ACCATCCATCCATCCATCCATCCATCCATCCATCCATCCATCCAGCCAGTCAGCCAGCCAGCCATTATCTTCTGCTTGTTCCAGAGTCGGGTCATGGGGGCAGCAGCTTGAGCAGGGAGATTCAGATGTCTCTTTCCACAGCTATCTCTTCCAGCTCTTCTGGGAGGACCCCAAGACGTTCAAGGTCAAGATCAAGGTGTCTTTATTGTCATTCGCACCACATGTTGTACATGCGGTGGAATGTAATTGTGTACACAGGGTCATAGTTACATCCAAAAAAAAATACAAGTTGTAAAGAAAAACAGTAATAAGATCTAAGACACGCACTAAGAAATATGTTAAGCTAAGAATATGGTAAGCACTAGTAGTACAAAACAATAAAACTATGGTTCTCAGGCCAACCGAGAGATGTAGTCTCTCCAGCGTGTCTTGGGTCTTCCCCGGGGTCTCCTCCCAGTCGGACATGCCTGAAGCACCTCCCTAGGGAAGCATCCAGGGAGCATCCTTACCAGATGCCCGAACCACATCAACTGGCTCCTCTTGACATGGAGGAACAGTGGTTCTACTCTGAGTCTCTCCCGGATGACTGAACTTCTCACCCTATCTCTAAGGAAGAGTCCAGCTACCCTGCAGAGGAAACTCATTTCAACCGCCTGTATCCACGATCTCATTCTTTCAGTCACTACCCAGCGCTCGTGACCATAAGTGAGTGTGCGTAGACCAAATGGTAAACAGAGAGCTTTGCCTTACAGCTCAGCTCCATCTTCACCATAACGGACCGGCACAGAGTTTGTAATACTGCAGATGCTGCACCAATCCATCTGCCAATCTCACGCTCCATTCTTCCCTCACTCGTGAACAAAACCCCAAGATACTTGAACTCCTCCACTTGAGGCAGAACCTCATCCTCGACCTGAAGATTAGTTAATTTGTTCAGTTATTTATTTAAATAATAGCTAGCTAACTAAAAGTGGGTTGACAGCATTTGGCTGCTGTCTGAACTCGACCAACAGACGTCATTAAAACTCACACATTTAGTAAAAATTGTGTTGTTTCAATATGAGAGTGCTGCTGGGTAAACACATTGTTGGGCTGATCATCAATCAGTGCAAATCTCTATAAATGCATACGTTTTTGCAGTTTGGTGATACTGAGCATGTTGGTGTTTGCACAATGTTATGTTAAGAAGGAAAGAAATCAGCAATGATTTCAAATGAGTAACCGTCACTGTTTCCCACCAGTCTGGGAATGTTACACTACAATTTCCAAATACGTTAAATGGCAACATTTAACAGTAAAAAATAAAAATAAAAAAGTCAGGCAGGATTTTTGCACAATGTGCTGTCATTGTGAGTAACATCAGGAAATATCACGTACCTCTGAAGCCTTTGGGGATTGTCTTGCATGACTCCAGGCTGTTCTTGAGGTATCTCAGGTTTGCTTTCACAGTTTTAATGTTAACCGTGTCGGAGACTTGCATCCTCTCTACATCTCTGCGCAGTTTACCCACCTAACACCCCCAGCACACACAAACACACACCATGAAGGAAACATTTATGAATAAAACTGTATTTTTATCTAGTTTGCGGTACCTCCTTGGACAATGTCTGTGTCTGAACGTTGTTCATCTGCACGTGCACCGCACTGATGTCTGTCTCCAGCCGGCTGAGCTCCTGGCCCAGCAGGCGCAGAGAAAGAATTGTGTACAGACCCTTATGATGGAGGTACTGAAAGGGCTGCAGCCGAGCTGTAATGTTCTCAACCTGAGCCTGAATCTCAGGAAGACGCTGGCTGGAGACCGTCAACTGCAGGGAAACAAAACAGTGAATTTCTTCGTTGAAACTGAAAGTCTGTGAATGAAATGCTACAGCCAAGTTGATTGATGGAGATCCTAAAATTGATTTCAACACTTCAGCTAAAACTCAAATGACAATTCTTCAAACAATCCAAGTAACAAAGTGTTTTTTTCTTCTTTCTGTGAACTAAAAACATTAATTTACTTTAGGACAAGAGATTAGCTCTTATTTACCTGCCCGTCACGTTCTGAAAATCAAAAAGAGTTCATCTTTTTTGCAAACTACCCATTTATTAGGTGAGTAATGTACAAGAAGCTAAAGTAACTAAATAAACTGAACTGTCTGTTTTTATATGTTAGTAAAAAAATTATTATATGTGCTGTGGAACTTAAAACTGAAATAAAGCCTAGGACTAAAAGTTGAAATCCTCATAATGTGAACACTGATGTATTCTGCAATTTTCAGCCTATTTTAGTCATTCCTATACCAAAGTGTTCAGTTGAATGAAAAAATGGGTGCTGTGTCTTTCGGTTAATGACATTTGTGTACTTTTGAATAAATTATAAATAATTTTTACAGCTCTGTGTGCTCCTTTTGATTTTAGCTCCTAGTTTGATACTTCCGGTTATCGTTTTGCTACTTTAAGCATTTAACTACTGATCTGCCACCATTAACTAGCATATTAACGTTCATTTTTGTCCGTCATTGTGGAGCAAAGAGGTGGGACTGGAAATACCCTCAATCTGTCAGTCTGTCCATGCATGCTGTGAGTGCAAATTACCTTGGGGTCAAAAAATTTATATATATATATATATATATATATATATATATATATATGCTTTTCCTTAAAAGTATAGTTTGGTAAAATGATCAGGGTGTCTGGTGTAGTAGCTGAAGATTAAAAGATTAATCTATGGTGGCCAAGGCCACCTTTGGCCACCCCCTGACTCCGCCATTGCACCTGGCGGAGGATAAAATTGCTCCCTTCATTCGCCAGGATCCGTCTCTCTGCATTGACTCGGGCAGGAAAAAAAGAAACAATTACCCCTATTCTTCTCCACACTGTAACTCCTAACCAGTTGAACATCTTGCATCAAAAACATTAATATTTACTTGTAATCCTTGTCCAGAAAAAAACACACATCTTGAAAACTACAAACACATTATTCAAATCATTCAGTGATGGGGGCCATTGGTGTACAGATTGTTTAGAATGTATGCTACTTTTAGCTTTTAACCTGCCTTTTGCTACTTTTAGCTTTAAGCTAACTTATTGCTGCTTTAAGCCAGTATTTTGTTCCTTTTAGCTAGCTTTTAGCTATTTATTTATTTCTTGGTGTGGGGATTCATCATATCCTGGACTGAAAATTTCAGCAAAGACATTCAGAACTCAGCATTCATTCTGCTTTTTCACATAAATTTGATTTCACTGGTTTTCTTTTGTTTGTTATTTTTTTGGGTGTGATAAATCATTTTTGACAATCGTCAGCATAAATGAAGGATTGATTTGCTGTTTCTTTAGCAATGGGTGGTAGAGCAAACTTCACACATCAATTAATAACCTAAAACAAAAAACAGAATGTATTTGACTAAGTCTTGCTTCTTTTCACACAGTCATTTTTATTTTCTATTTACATCCAAGACATGCATTTTGAGTGTAAAAAATGGAAATTAGCCAAAACTTGAAATTATAAATTTTAAAAGTACTGACTTTTCAAATCATTTCTTGCTTTTTGTTTTTTTGAGCTAATATTGTGTAAAACTGATATTGTGACAATCATATCTAAAATAAGAGTAATCTAAAACGGCAATGATGAAGTTTGAATTTTTAGGGGTTCCTACCTGTTCCTGCAGGCTGCTCAGAGATCCTTCACAGGTCTGAAGCTGCAGCAGTACAGCCTCGTACTTCAGAGCAGGAAAAGACCACATGGTGGAGTTTACCTCACACTGACACATGTCGTCCTTCTTCAGGCCGGCCACACGTTGAGCTGAGCCAGCTTCCTGCAGATACACAATGAAACACTGCTGGGATCTACAGCTGAAGGTGGATCGGTTTGAAAAGAATCATCAAAGTGATACAATCACAAATAAATGAGAAAGAAAAATCTCATTTTTATATCTTAGCTCTCCACCTTTTCTGTAGAGAACATTTAAAGTTTAACTTACGGTGGAAGTCAGCAGTAGCAGGAGCAGCAGCATGGTGTTTACAGCAGGAGAAGTTGATACAAAATACCTCCTTCTTCTCAACTTTTTCTGCACTACTACAAACGAGCCCTCTGATTATTCACAAATGAGTCACTGTAGAAACCTGAATGATTTCACACGGATGTAAAAATCCCCCAAAAAGAGAAGATGTGGAGTTTCACATCCTCACAACGCACCCATTCCTCTTTTATTTTATGCAAACGTTTTTATTTCACGGTTTGGAATACCTTGTCATACCTCTGTAAAAGTACAACAGAGCAGTAACATGACATGTTATAAAAACTGTACTTTTAAATACATTTTTAAGTCGCTGCAAATTAGAAACAAATCTTTTTTGATCTGAACTCAGTTATTGAATGTTTTCAATACAGATTACATTTTATATTGCTTTGTGAGATTAAATTTTGGCAAATAAGCACCTGAGACAACCATAAATAGACTGGTTAAATATCTTGGCTCTCCTAAACGTTTCCTCAGCTAACACGTGAGAGTCACTGCTAAGCTCTGCACGTTTTAAATGGATGTGAAACTTAAAAAACTTTGAAAACCATGGAGTTTTGCAACACCTTTGGTCAACTTAGGAGTCGCCCATCCCCCTTTAGATTCATGCAGGAGTTTTTGTTTAACCATTAAAAACCCCTGAAGTTATTAATAAATAAGTCACTTCCTTTATTGTAACTTCCCATCAATATTGAACCAGCATCACGTTGAACATCACGTTCGGGTCTCTCTTGTAAATGAGTCCCCAAGGCTCAGTGGGTTTAACCTGTAAGGACCGACCATTGGCTGGGGGGGTCCTCCCCCCGAAAATTTTGAATAAAATAGATGTCATTTCCTCTGTTTGGTGTATTTTAATGAGTTGTTAAACCTCTACATTTACCTACATTTGTAAACACGATTTAAGAACTATTTTAGAGAGCAACCAATAGTAGCCAGACCAACAGCTCTCCTTGTGTGAATAGAGCAAGCTCCGCTTCTCCCACGCACCTGCTCCAGTATGATCTCCATTGCCAATGCTTTTATGTGTTTCAATTCTCGGTTGTTTAGTTGTACAATGAGCAGACTTTATTTTTAAAGTCAAAGGTTCTTTAGTTGTTATTATCATTATTAGTATTTGTTATTATGTATCAATGAAAGTAAATGCAACTATCTTTTTGACTTCTCTGTTATTTTATGAAATTGGCACCATTGTTTAGATACGTACATGACATGATTACGCATCAGACATTTCTCATATTTTTAATCTTCTTTCTTCTTCTTTCGGCTGCTCCCTTCTTCAGGGGTCACCACAGTGAACAAAGTCACATGAAGACTTGGCAATTATTTTTACACCAGATGCCCTTCCTGAAGCAACCACAGACCACCGAGCTACCACAGCCCTGTGTGGAGCAGAGAGCTGCTATCTAGGGCACCTGGAGGAGCAGATGGTGGGGGTTAAGGGCCTTGCTCAAGGGCCCAGAGTGGGGCAAATGAGGATGGGAGCAGGTGTGGGTGCTTCACCTTTCCCACCCACATTTTAATGTTGTCTGTACCAGGAGTTGAACCGGCGATTTTCCAATCACATGCCCACCTTCTCTAACCTCTGCACAGAGTTGAATCCTATTTCACAAGAGGGTTATAAAATTTTATTATTTTTTCCAAATATCTCTCAATTTTTTTTTTATCTGTTGTACAGATTTTAATATCACATGAAGTGTTTCAATCTATCAAATATGTTTTATCAACCCCATGTTTGGTTTAGTTTAGTTTTTCTTTGGTCTACAATGTCCTAGAGACAGAACATATGAAACAAACAAAAATTCTAATGTGAAGAAAACTCCTAAAATCGGAGAGAAGCAAACAATGGACACCTTTGCTGTGAATCAGGATTATGCTTTAATGTGCAGATTTTATGGGAAGTGTTTGAGTAACAGCGTTTTTTCCACACTCTTGAGTTCGTCAGACTTCTTTCTTATTGAGTAATAGCAGAACAAGTAATTTTTGTGCACATCCAACCCCTCAGGGTCCATTAACCTTCTAGAATCTGAACGTGCACTCAAATCATTTCTCATCAACAGATCAAAAATTCTGTGTTGCCACAATCCCAACCGCAGGGAGGAAATGAAATTTGGCGCTCGTGCAGATTCACTGGCTCACATGCAAAAATTTGTGGGAGTGTTTAGAGGATAGTAGCTGCGTTTTGCAGACAGACTCAGAACATATTCTGTAATCAGATGTAGAAGTGATCCATCATGAAGCTGTATGTGATCGTTTCTCTGTGGGCTCTGGTCACCATCACACACCAGGTAGGAAACACAAATGACAGGAATATTAAGGGGTTTTATTAGTAGATACTTTTTTTTAAACCTGGTTTTTGTTTATCAATTTTAGATCAAAACACAAGATAACTGTGTGTGTGAGTTCATCAGCTCAGAGAAACCCTTTCCTTATGACAAACTCAAGATGATGCAGGACAGTGCATCCAACTGCAACAACCTTATGAGCCCTCAGAAGGTGAGTGAAAGCACTAAATCATGTTTGGGTTTATGCCTGTGTGTCCACGCTGAGTGTCTCTGCTGTCCCTGCAGGCCTTCGGGTTGGAAAGTCTGCTGCTGGGTTTGAACCGACGTCTGCCTCAGCTGGAGGATGATGTAGAGATGCTGGAAAAGGAGGACGATGGAGAACTGTATGGAGTTCTCAGTTTGTACGTGATAGAGAACGAGCTCACTGAGATCCAGGCGATGATCGATAAACTCAACAGCTCAACCTCTGAGCACAAACGCCTCGGTGACGACACCGCTCAGAAGGTACAGCGTACGACTCACATTCAGTCTGGTTTTATTTTCATCACAACTTTAATTCAGTCAGATTGAAAAAAAAATGTGCAGGTACTCTTTTAAATGATAATGCACACTGGAATCTCAGTTGACAAATATATTTGGAATGGAAAATCTTCGATCTATAGGAAAAAAAATGTTTTAATTGAATTTAAATCAGACTGGAAAGTGTTGGAGTTATACAGTAATATTAAATAAAGTCGTCGCTATATTAGCATATTAGTGCTTTTTTCCCTCTCCCTCCCAACTAGATTCTAAATTTAATTCATATATATATATATATATATATATATA